TAATTTGAATAAATAATTGATGAATTTTACCTTAACTCCTATATTGAACGTAGCGATCAATGAATGCAATATGTATACTGAGTACTCCTATATTTTACTATTTAACTTTAGCATATTCGAGGTCTAGAAATTTCACTTATACCCTGTCAAAGCCGGTTATTTGACAAAATCATGTCAAAATATCTACATCTATATCACCAGCTTGAGAATACAAGTGACACGTAGCAATGAATGTTATGTGAGAGTCCAATCGCTCTAGCGAGATTGATTACATACTAACATCCTAGATGGGGTTGTAAAACCTAATGGACTTGATACTATCCGAAGCCATTGATGTGTGAATTTCCGAAACGGAGTTATCGAGGTCCTAGCTTTTATCAGTCGGAAATTTTGGCAGTTCACTCATCTCGTTTAACCAGTTTCCTTTTCTCAAGGGTTATTATTCTGTTCACTTTCCTTATATTCTGACCAGCACATCATTGTCCTACAGCACCAAGTAAATATACCGATAAATGATAATTTGTAACTCAATTCTACTGAAACGTTTGCTGGCCACAAAACGCTGACGTTAATCTACTTTTCATCGAGAAATACAGATATGTTACAACAAACGTCACACTAGGGAAATCAGAAGTTGGCCTTGCTGTGTGTGGCTCGTTCAGTGTAATAATTTGCTAATTTCATCAGACCCCAATCGTGTGAAACATCCGAGATTCTTTTTCCAATATAAGTGAATCCTAGTAGGAAACTGGTAGGGAAGCATTGAAACCGATTTTCAATCCCAGAATCAGTTAAACGCTTCCACACAAACACAAGCACGATTTACAGCATGATCAATGGAATGTGTTCACAAGACTCCAACTCGGAAGATGACTGACCACAAGAAAGCAAAACAATGAATAAATTCGGCTGCATTTCCGTCGGTTGATATCAGGGTTCTAACAATTGTGGATGGTCTTGCATGGGGATACTGGGATTGTCGAGCAATCTGCGGAGGTGCAATACTTTTGTTAATAGCTTGTGTTATTCACTCACATTGGCACTTTGCTGAGTCGAATTCCTTGATCTGGAAAACGATTGATTCCGCACCGGTTGTAGCATAGGTGAGTATCATAAATTTACGATAACGCTCCTTGTGCATGACGTATAATGTGCATTCTGATTTTGATTTCCCAGTACTCGCTGTAACTTATTTGTTATTGACAATTAGGCCCGGTCTTTTTTACATGAGGTCTGTCAACGTCTGGAATGGATGCTGTATTGTCGTTGGACTTCATACGCTATACAGCATTACCACAAATTTCTACGGTTATTGATTATACCAAAGCTAGAATTGTTGCCGAAGGCATCTAGTGGATATTTCTCAACCAACAGTTCGTTCTCCTGGCACACCAGCAATTATCTACGAATCTGCTTGTAGAACTGTTGAACGTCATGACGAATAACAAACACAGAACCCATCCAACTGATTTGGGTACGAACACTAAAGTGAACTTTGCGGAGAAATATCCCATGGAGAAATTAAACCGCCCCCCCCCCATTGTAACACGCATGCTATACCTGCTGCCTACTGTAACGCTTGTGCAGCATACTAGTACGGGAAGACAACAGATGACGAGCAAGTTGATATCCAACCAACAGCTGCTGTACAAACATACGAATGCATCCAGTAAAGTCAGCGCTTACGTTCGAGCGATACGTTCGGCATGATTTCTTTGAGACACAACGAAGAAGGTAGTTCAAATGGTCAAACGTTACTAGGCTTACTTTTTCACTCTACTTGCCAACATTGGGCTACGAATGCCTCAGTTACTGGAAGGCAAGCCGTATACACCACTGGTTTCAGAGAACACTGTTCACACACTTGAGTATACACACATTTGAGTATACAAGTCAAGAAACATGGGATTGTACAATGTTTTCAGGGTCAGTATACACATGTACAGATGCCGCGAAATGATCATGGGGACATGCTGTGTGAACCCGTGTGTCTGAATTCTATATATAAATTCAGAGAAAATCACAAAGATGCTACTGTGTATGGAAATTCGTTCATCTTCAGA